TGCAAAAAGTCTAGACGGGGGGCAAGCCCGGTGGCACAGCAGTTAAGTACGCACATTCCACTTCAGTGGCCCAGCGTTTGCCAGTTCGGATCCCGGATGCGGACATGGCACAGCTTGGCAGGCCATACTGTGGTAGGCATCCCACATATAAAGTAGAGGAAGATGGGTACGGACGTTAGCTCAGGGCCAGCCTTCCTCAGCAAAAAAAAGAGGAGGATTGGCCGCAGATGTTAGCTCAGGGCTAATCTTCCTCAAAAAAAAAAAGTCTAGAAAGGGACTTTCTGGAGATGTTCAATGGTGTTACACAGAAAGTATTCTGGCACTGCAATGTAGTGTGTGTTCTAAGCAGTGACTATACTCTCGAATGGACTGTGTTTTGGACAGCATGTTGACTGGTGTATAGGACAGACAGACACAAAGATAGTCAGAAAGAGACTCCTTTGGGTATTTCAGATCTGAACAGAGGGGACAAAGCAAATTTTCAACTCAAGTTTCAACTCTAGAAGATTTTACTCTGTATTTTTTAGTATAGATATTAGAGTTATGCCCCTTTTGATAAACTTCTGTCCAGAAAATATTTTCTAGTTCCTAAAAATTAAACTGTTTTGATTTTCCAAATTCTTGTACAGCCAAGTTAAATTCTTTCCAGTTTTGCATTTTTATTTCATTAAAATAGTTTTAATAAGACAACTTTTGTACTATATTTTGTAATGCAAAATTGATTCACTTGATCAATTGGCTGTTTATATCAAATTTTACCAATTATAGCATCTGAATTGTCAGTTTTCTTCGTGACCTTTTACACTGGCCAATTTTTTTTTTCCCCTGAGTAAGATTAGCCTTGAGCTAACTGCTGCCAATCCTCCTCTTTTTGGACATAAGGACACATATTATATGATCCATTTAAATGAAATGTCCAGAATAGGCAAATACAGAGAAACAGAAAATAGATTAGTGGTTGCCACGAGCTGAAGGAATGGAGAAATGGGGAGTGACTGCTTAAAGGGTTTCCTTTTGGGGAAATAAAAATGTTCTGGAACTAGATAGTGGTGAGGGTTGCACAACATTCTGAATGTACTAAAGGCCACTGAACTGTAGACTTTAATAGTTAAAATGGTGACGTTTATCTTACGCAAATTTTACCACACTTTTTTTTAAGGTAAAGGGAAAATGAAAAGTCTGAGGCTCAAATTGATGGAATCAAAATAAATTGTCAGAATAGAGAGGCTTGCAAACTTAATCTGGATCCTATTGGTTTATGTCACTACCGTCTTAAGTTTCTTGTCCATGCAGCCAACTCTAACTCTAACTAATACGAGAGCCATAAAGGAGCTGTCTAGGGTTGGGAGTAATCTTTTTTAAAAAAAAATTAAAAATGTTACCAATGTTCATTGTAGAAGATAAACACAAACTATAAATCAACCATAATACTATTGTCTAGAGAGAATCTGTTCAGGTCTTCCTTTTTTTCCTATATGAACATAAAACTGTTCCTTAAAAAGAAATTAGATACTGTTTTGTGGTGCATTCAATTACATAATTTTATATGTCCCTAACACTTAACAAATCTTTTACTATATATAAGCAATGTTCTATGTGCTTTAAATATATTAACTCATGTAATATTCCAACAACCTCATGAGGTTGATATTGTTATTTTGATTTTAAAGATGAGAAAATTAAGACTTATAGAGGGGACAGGCAGCCTTTCTAAAGTCACAGAGACATTAAGTGGCAGAAGCAGGATTCACATTCAAACAGTAGGTCTTCTGAGATTTCACAACCACCAGGACCAAATATTTAATCAAACCACTTCTGCTGGACGCTTGGAATTTATCCAATGTTTTGCTATCACAAACAAAAATTTAGCAAACACTGTTGAAGCCAAATATTCGCACAGATAAATAATGATCACAATATAAGTTCCTGAAATTGAAATTGTGATTCAAATTGTATTAAAAATGAAAACTTTTGATACAACTCCTAAATTTTTGAAATGGTCAGCCTCAGATTTGTGGGAAGTGTGCGCAAACACACGGAAAAGATTCGCTCTGAAGTACACAGAGCATATTTCAGTTGTCATTAAAACGCAGAGGTCGCATATCCTGTAAGTGGCAGAACCGAGACTGGAATATCACTTTTTTTTTTTTAACTCATAATGTTTCCCCTTGACTCCACTGCTCCTCCAAGTAAGAATACAAGATACATCCTGCATCAGGATGTGATTTCTGGAACACTCTGCAATTACAACTATCTTCTAATCATTCTTTACCCAATCAAAATTAGATAGATAGATGATAGATAGATAGATATAGATACCACTTGTAAAGCTGTGCCTCACAGAGTGACCTCCTCCCAAACAGTATATATTAACGATGTTGACAATTTGATAATGACCTGATGTCTAAAATACTCCCCAGTAATACAACCAAGGCATTACAGAGCATCTCTATTTCCATGCCAGTCTTAAGCACAATTTTTCAATATGATCACCTTGGAATCATTTAATCTCTAAACAGAGAAAAGACAAAATCAAGTTAACATTGTTTTATTACCTTCTATATCTGTAAATACTACTTTACACATCCAATTTTTGCTTACTTTAACCTGCCATGTTTTCTTTAAAAGCAAAGTCACTTCTTTGAATAGCAAAATTAAAGCTCTGTTAGAAACGTTGCAAAACAAACCTTACTGCATTTTAGACAGTTAACTGCTTCCTTATAAAAATAAGAAAAAACAGTCTGCACACTTGCATTAAAAATTCAAAAGCATTTGCCAGAGAAAAAAAATGAAAGCTTTAAAAAGATATTTTCTTTCACACTAAAACAGCATAATTTTCATGTTACACAAACAAGGGAAGAAGAACACTACATGTTAAAAATAAGACTTTAAAAAGAAAATTACCCTTACGAAAGAATAAGTCGAAAAATCTAGATTTCAGGGGCAAATTAGAAAACAGAAAATGCAGCATCAAACAAAAACTTTTAGACACACATCTAACTGAAGGTCTTCTATCTTAGTGCCCAGAGGGCTCCATAACAAATAAACATTCCCTATGAACCCGTGTCTATTCTGCATAACCAGTTCAGGCCCATTCCGTAAATATCTCCAGACTCCATGTAGTTAGCTCTCTTCTTGATTCCACACTCCAAATAAGGTGAGCTGGGGAGAAAGGGTTGGTGACACCTCCCCCAAATCAAATATAGCTGCCACAGGCTTGAGAAAAGAAGGAAAAGGAAAGGCCTAGCCTAGGAAAAATTAAATAGCAAGCAATGTCGCCTTTACTATCACTCAAGTCCCTCTGTTAGCCTCTCTCCTGCCATTGAAGGCCTGAGTTTTCACGTTGTTCTCTGACTGTCCGAATACTCCAATAGAGCATGTGCTCTCCCAAACTTCCCTCTCTCCCCAAATGACCACTCGATCTTTTTTCTTTCCTCTACCCAAAATTCCTATTTTTTAAATTTTAAAAATCCTTGTAAGAAAACAATCTCAAAAAAATTAAGTCATATGAAAGGGTGATTGACAGTCTGCAGTCTTTGCCACCTAAGTGTTATTGACAACGTTGGGAGAGATTTGGGGGGCCTGATGGGAGGGCTAGATTTACTTTAATCACACCAACACCATTTTAAAACAGGGCACTGAATAGGAAAATGACATTTTATAGTTCCTAGGCTTTGATTAGGACACAGTGCAAACGGTGGGCTTTGATTTTAGGACAATCATGTCCCACTCAATCCTTTCAGTAAGATTTGCAAACCCAGCTCCCTTTATCCTCTAAAATCTGACCAAGAGGACATGGTTAATTGGCTCTAAATGTTTTTTACACGTCGGTTGGTAGGAGAGAGAAGGAAAATGGCGATAGAGGATTTACTTTCAACAGAATTAGGTTAAATAAAGTTTTAGTAATAGCTCGAAGAAAAGCATTTCATTTCTGCAACCCACCCCCTGAGGTCAGGGAGCCCTAGCTGTGATAGTCTTCACCAGCTTGCACCCAATTTGTAGATGTGGAAACAGGCTGCAAAGCAAATCTACCGTTCCACCTGGTTCCCTCTTTCCTTTCCAATGAAACTAGAAAAGTTTAACTAGCTGTATTCAGTTTTAAACAAATGACACAAATATACATGAACTATTTCCTGACGTGCTTAGTTATCAAGAAGCATATAAGAACTAAACATAAGAGGTTCTCCTTTTTTTTAAATACTGTATTTCCATTGTGGGACATACCCCAGTCTCATTTTAAATCATGATCATCTTCTCTTTTGTTTTTCATTTCATTTTAAATGTTGCATTGGTTGTTTTATTTATGTGTGTTTGTGTATATATATGCATGTGTGTATATACAGTCAGTTTAAACTATATTCTTACAGAACATGGCCACTTCATGAGCTAGCTCAACAAATTCAGCCTACAAAGTCAAATTTTGTGGGGAGCGGGTGGCGGGTGGGGAATAGGTCTCAATTCCTTACAGCTGCAAAATTTTTAAGTTAATTTTTTTTTTTTAGGAAGATCAGCCCTGGGCTAACCTCGGCTGCCAATCCTCCTCTTTTTGCTGAGGAAGACTGGCCCTGAGCTCACATCTGTGCCCATCTTCCTCTACTTTATATGTGGGACACCTACCACAGCCTGGCTTGCCAAGCGGTACCATGTCCACACCTGGGATCTGAACTGGCGAACCCCGGGCTGCCAAAGCAGAACGTGTGCACTTAACTGCTGTGCCACCAGGCCAGCCCCTTAAGTTAATTTAATCTTGTTTCTCTTCCAAAATTTTCTTCAACTAGTGATACCTAATATTTGTTGCTATGTTTTATACTGTCACTTGAAATGAGAATACAACAATGTGATACTAGATTTATCATAAGATTAACATTAGTTATTAGAAGTTTAAACACCATCGCTATGGGGTAGTTTGCAAGGTCTTCCAGGGTCTCCATCACATGAACAACTTTGAGAAGCACTACATTTAAGCAACATCTTGGAAGATATGAAATTGCACCTACGGCTTAAGTTTCACTACATTCTTTTAATTCTTTACAGTATTTTGTAATATTTACCTGCTGTAATAAGGAGCAATGTATTTTGTTTGATAACGGTAGTGAATGGAGATGCATGCTTACCCCTCGTTGCTACTCATAACTATGATGGGAGCGGAGCCTGTTTCTTCAGACTATATGACATAACCACAATCCACCTGAAGCTAACATATTCTAATTGCAAATGACTACTATCGAGAGAAAACTGTCATATGTGCTAAGCTTGTAAATGGAAATATGAAAGTACAATACCCTAGAGAAGAAAAGAACTTTTTCTCAGCATAATTTTCATTACAGGCAAGTTATCAATAGTAGTCTTGAATCTCAGGAAAAAAAGTGTTAAGACTTGTGATTACAATCTCAATAGAAGATCTTAGCATTTTTCTTTTAAAATATTGGCAATAACTCTCTGTACGGTGAATATAGTTTCGTTTTTTGAGAATCAGAAAACTTAGACATATTCCTCATAACAATCCTTTTGTAAACCACAAAACACACTTTCAAAACCGCAAAAACAGCACAAATTTTTGGTCTACACTTTCCTGGTGTAGTTTAAAGTCGTGGCTATCTATTTTTGAGCTCTTTCTAGGGCAACTCAGTAGACAAGACTGCTCCTCACGATCTTATTGCTAACCAGAAGGAAAACCAAATTCTAGTAGCCTTAAGGGCTACTGATGAGGTGCTACTGGTTTTTTACAGCTAAAAGATCCAACATCATTTGCCATTGTGTTTGATACAATGCTATTCCACTTAAATCTAAATCTGGAACAAGAACAGAATTTCTGGCCCAGATAGCTGTTCTGCTATATTCAATCAAGTACAGCTTAGCTATTGTTGGACTAATATTTACCCAACATATTCACTGGGAAAATATCTATAAAAGAGAGCAGGTCCTTTATAGACCTTAATTCAATGCTACAGCACAAGATTTGTCTATTTACTCAGTGGTAAAAAAGGCAAAATATGTTTTAACATTTTAAACTTCTTGGAAAAGATATGCAACAAACTGCTATAAAAATACACATTGGTAAATAGCACAATTCACAATTTAGAAAAATCGCTATATATATTCATATATATATTAGAAATTGAAATTGAATTTTACAATATCCCTTTTGGAATCCTCCAGAATGTCTGGTAAAGACACGCCTCACGCCTAATTGTAGCACTTTAACATTATCTCTTTGTGCACGTTTCTGCTAAGGCAGTAAATTTGGCTTCCAAATTATTTAGAAAGTCAAGGCCATCCTCTTCCTGCTTTTCACTGCAGCAACCTACAGAACCAGCTGGAGATCCTCGTCCTTCATAGTTGTATGTAAGGACGTAATCTTGGGATGGCACGTGGTCGTCACTCTGATTACACAGACGCAATTTCTGTAAAATAAAAAAAAAAGAATTGCATTATTGCTTTAAAAACACTTAAACATATGAACATAAAATTTATTTTTTTATTTACCTTTTATGTTTAATTTTTAACCAGTGTGTCCTCTAACGGAGTCCTACACACAAAAAATGCACACAATTGGTCGATATCACAACCACACCATAAAGTCAGTATATTTTACATTTCTAATAATAGATACAAATAAAAATTATATATGCAAGTGTTATATTTAAGTACATTTAAATTATCATTAAATGCTTATTCCTAAATTTATATTTAGAGGGCAGGCTAGTCCACAGCATGGCGACAACACACAAAGTGATTAAGAATCTGACCTTGAATAGTCAAACAGTCCTATTTCGAGTCATAGCTCTGGCTTTACCAACTAGCTATACGAGTTTGAGCAAGTTACTAAACATCTTTAAGTTTGACTCTCCTTACATCTACAATGGGAATACAGACAGTGACTGTCTCCCAAGATCATCATTAAATGATGAAATGAGTACATGAAAAATACCCTTTATACATCCAGGACATAGTAAATGTTTAAAAAATGTCAACCAAAATTGCTATTATATGCAGTTATAAAGTAGGTAAGAATTACCTCATTGGCTTTAGAATCAAGTCTCCGAGATAGCCAAAACATGATAAAATGAGAGATGCATAGTGAAATTAAAAATAATCAACACATCGGGGCTGGCCCAGTGGTGTAATGGTCAGGTTTGCATGCTCTGCTTCAGGGGCTAGGGGTTCCAGGGTTTGGATCCCTGGCACAAACCCACACACAGCTCATCAAGCCGTGCTGTGGTGGTGTCCCACATACAAAACAGAGGAAGACTGGCACAGATACTAGCTCAGGGACAATCTTCCTCAAGCAAAAAAGAGGAAGATTGGCAACAGATGTTAGCTCAGAGCCAATCTTCTCCAGCAAAAATAAATCAGTATAACCCACATTGCAAAAACTGGGCCTTCAGAATAGAGAAGCCAAGCATTCGGCCACGCATACCCTCACTGTCTGTCACTGGCCCATCTGTCGACTTGTCAACTCCTGTGCGTTCTCCCTTTCTCACGTGTGCCCATTCCCTCTCTAACTGGGAGCTTATTTCCTTGGTTTATATTATCAAGCATCTTTCTTGATGGCCTTTTTAGCCTCGTATCCCATTACCTGAGGAGCACAGTGAAGAATACTCCTAAGAGTGCTTCTTAAGCATCACTCCTTCTCAACCTGATCTGATATGATACTGACTGTCTAGAAACAGAAAAAGGATTAACACTTGAATTGGACAAAAAGAAAAATATGCTATGGGCACACGATAAGCCACAGCCGTGTCCTGGAATGTTGTCCATTTGCAGTCTACTAAAGGATTAAGGGCTTCTGATCCAGTGTTTGTGTTAGAATGATACCGGAAGCCTCTGATAAAAAAAAGTGAAAACTTAGTAACAGAAAGAATATTTGATCCAGTGGTTCTCTCCCTGAGTTGCACATGTGAATCACCCGACAAGCTTAAAAAAAAAAAAAAACAATGAAATCAGAATCTTTCAAGGTGGAGTATGGGCATTAGTATTTTTTAAACGCTCCCCAGGGGATTTTTTTTTTTTAAAGATTGGCACCTGCGCTAACACCTGTTGCCAATCTTTTCTTTTCTTCGTCTTCTCCCCAAAGCCCCCCAGTACATAGTTGTATACTCTAGCTTCAGGTCCCTCTGGTTGTGGCATGTGGGACACTGTCTCAGCATGACCTGACGAGTGGTGCCATGTCCGCACCCAGGATCCGAACCAGTGAAATCCTGGGCTGCCGAAGCAAAGTGTGAAGTTAACCACTCGGCCATGGGGCCGGCCCCCTCCCAGGGGATTCTGATGTGCTGCCAGGATTGAAAACCCCTTATTTAATCGCTCCATCCTTTCACATCCTAGCTCTCTTCTGAGTAAAAATACTTTATATTTGCATGGTTCTTTTTGCATTAAAAATAGTTCAGATAGATCATATTATTTAATGTTCATCCTAGAATTGTGTACAGATGCTTTGTTTTCACAAAGAAATGCAGATTTGATTTGTGGAGTTTTGCGATTGTGTGGAATGAGGGTTTTTTTCCCCCATATTCTTCTATATTAAAAGCATTCGTGAGGAGAACACCCAGAAATGAAACGTAACTTTAGTGAGGGATATTGGAAACCTCCAATTTTCATGAAATTCTAGAAATTAAAAGAAATATGACATGAAATAAAATCCCCTTTATATGAAATAATGTAACAAAATCAAAGAGCAGGGGAAAAAAATAGCCAGAGAATGAGAGAGAAAGAGGATACACTGAAGAATACAGAAAAGCAGTTTCTGAAAAATATATGCTCATTTCAATTTCTTATTCTTCTCCACTTGGACATGTAATCAAGGAGTCAAATCACTTAGGGAAACTCACTTCACCAAGACGGGGCTGAGTGAAACTATGCCACTCTGAGTAAGTGTATCTGCAGTTGTCCGTGTCCACATGTCCCCCCCTGCAGGAATCCAGGGTGTGATGGTGTCCGGCCCCTCCGCACGATTCCAAGGTCTGGTGTCCTCCTTTCATCAGTTCAATGGTTTCCTGCCCTCCATTCTTGACTCCTGATCCCAGAGTACCACAAAAGCCTTGACTAGAGTTGTTGACTGTCTGGGTCATAAACCCATTGCCAGAACACTGAAATAAAAATAGAAGACCATTCGTATTGGGAGGAAATGGATTACAATAAAGTCACAGGAAGACAAGGGAGAGAGAACATTTTTTTCAACCTTGTATTCATTTATTCATTCATTCAACAGATATTCATCACTTTCCAATTAGGGGCCTAGACTAGGGATGCAAAGATAGATCTGGTCCCTCAGTGGCTCCAAGAAGTGCTTATTCCAATGAGGCAGAAAATAGATTATTACTTTAAGAATATAATTATTCTCCTATAGGGGTGAAGGCAGAATACTATAGGAGCACAGAGAAAGAGTATAAAATCCAAACCCAGAAAGGGTAAGCGATGTAGACTGGGAAAACTCTGAGCCAAGGGACTTCTACTGAGAGATGTAGAGAAGAATACAGCAGCCGCAGGATGGCCTAGCGGCAAAGGCAAATGGGATGCTTTAGGGGACCTCAACTTCAGCCCGCTGAGAATGGCTACCACATAGAGTTCAAAGAGCAGGAGAAAACTGGAAGGTCATAAAAGGCCAGAAGACATAAAGATCTATACGCCATGCTAAAAAATTTAGACCATCACGGAGATGAGAGGGATTCAAAGAAGGGTTTTCATAACAGAGGAGGAATGATTTTTAAAAAATCATTCTAAGTAACAATGTGAAAGACAAATAAGAAAAAGACAAGTTTAGTGTCATGGAGATCAAACAGGTCACTGAATTATTCTAAGTGAAAAATAATAAGAATCTAAGCCAAAGTAGAAGCTGTGATGATTACAAGAAGTGGATGGACTCCAGAGAGAGCTTACTGGTGGTTAGATGGACGAGGCAGCAAGGGGAAGGGTCAAGAATGATTCCTAAGTGCTCTGCTTGTGCAACTAGATTGATGGTACAACTCACACTGAATTAGGGAAGAAGGAAGTGCTTACGGGCAAGAGGAGGGTGAGCAATTCCATTCTGGATGTGGTTAACTTGAGAAACTTGTGGGACGTCCAAGATGAGTATATAAATATGTGGATCTGGAGCTCAGGTGAGAGATTTGAGCTGGAGCTAGAATGCTGGGAGTCACTACCCTATATGTGGTAGTTGAAGCCCTGGGAATAAATGAGATCACCCAGAGAAAATTGCAGACTAAAAGAAAAGAAGGTTAAGAATAAAATTACAAGAAAAATCACATGTTAAGGGGCAGACAAAGGAATTACAACTGTGACAGAATTGATCTGAAATAGCTATTGAGATGATGGAACCAAAGAGGCATGACTAAAGCCATGTAAGAAGGATTACAGTAAGGAGGTCAATAACGTAGAAAAAAAACAAAGTAGGATAAGAACTAGTTCAAATAAAGTAAGCAGCCATAGGGTTCAAGTAAAAGAGTGGCCATTGGTAAGTGAGAGAACAGGAAGTGACGTCACAGAGAAATCAAGTATAAATCTTTATTTCTAAAGGTTCAGTTTCAAAGAAAGAGATATGGAGGGAACTAGAAAAAGACGAAGAGTCAAGGGAATTTTTTTAAATGAAAAAGACTGATTGACTAAACATTAACTTAATGCTGGAACTTCACACCAACCCTCTGCGCCACAGGTGGGAAGCTGAGTTACAGCGGTAACCTCAGCCTGTCAGTACTCATTACAAACCATTACTTTCATGACAAGATCTCCATTATAATCAGGCTTCATTGTGCCATCTTCTTATCAATTTATTTTTTTTTCTATTTAATATGCAGAGCCTCTACCTAAACTAGAAGATTTTCAAGTTCAGAAGATTTACCGAGCCTGAAATAGATCTATAAAAGTCATACATACTATCTCATTGCCTTAGAACAAAATGCCAGAAAAAAAGAACTGAAAAGTAGCCATTTGGTGGCACTGCTACTCTATATGTTTTGTTTAGGTTGCTGCTATAGTAAATTTCTATTACAAAAAACAAAAATTCTGATTATCAAATCTCTTTGATGGTATAATTTTGTCATGATAAGTACATGCTCAGAGATCATATTTCTAAGCTAATGAAAGGAGAAGTGAAAATAAACTAAAATCAAGGCTGAGCCTACAGTGCTGTTTCACATTCTCCCTCTCCTCCATTCCTTCCTGCCCACCTCTCCAAGTGCATTCCCCAAAGTTTATTCTCACAGAGGATCAACAACTCCTCCTCCACGTCAGTGATTTCCACATTTACGCTCCCAGTTCTGATTTGTCACCCAACTCCTAACTCCATCTGAAGGCCTTTAACTCAAACTCGGATCCAGAACTAAAGTCACCACTCTTACTCACTGTACTAAAATGAGTTTATATGTGTACTATGAAATTTTGTTACAGTTTGTAAAAATATGCCTCAAATTATGTTTTGGTATAAATTAATAATTCCAAGTCCTTTTGAGCAGTGTTCCTAACAGGGAACAGGTAAATAAGCGTGAGTATGATATGGTGAAGTGGCGATCAGCTCTTGCATCAAATGGCAAAGAAAAAATATTAGGTAAAGCTCAAGCATTCCATTCTCAGACATAAAATTTGCTATCTACACAAGGACTATCAAGGGATTGAACCTATTTTCTGAATAGGGAGGTAATTACAGGGCTCCACATGTAGATGTGTAGATGGGCTATGACTTTGCATAATGATGGAGAGATGAAAGGGAGAAACAGTCGATAAGAAAGGCATCTTCACTCTGAGAGAGAGAAACGGCTTGATATATCGCCACTGTCCCTGGCTACAGTATCTGTCACTTTGACTCCACTTTTTACTTTGTCCCTCAAAAGTAAACAATCTTATATGTTTAAAAATGTCCCTTATCCATCTCTATTTTAATATTTCAATTACCATCATCCTAGTAGACTCATCTCATGCTTAAACTGTCAAAAGAGCCTAATCCTTTGTCTTCCCCATCCCCGACGTCTTCCTATTCTGGTTGATCACCCTACTGATCCAGCATCACTCTGCTCACATTTTGGCGTTTCCGTGCAAAGTCTTGACTGGCTCTCTCACCAGGAGAATAAATCCAAAGTCTTTAGTGTGGCATATGAAAGTCCCATCTCCCCTCCTTGTTTATATCCTCTCCCCTCCAGGCCTAATTTAAGCTCAAGCCTCTATTCCAACACATCATTTCTTCCATTCCAAATCAATTTATTTGCTATTTGTTGAACAATCCCTGAAACTTGTCATGTCCTTTCTTATTCTTTAGGCTGTTTTCCTTCTCTTTAGCTATTCCCACCATCTCTTCACTTTCAAGCCCTTCTTCTTTAAATTACAGAAAAATCTGTACCTCTTTCACCAGGACTTCTCAGTTGATCCAGAGGCCATGAATATACTCATGTATCATAAGTATCTTTGAACTCAGTCGGGGCTCTATCATATTGGTGCTAATGGTTTATTGTTATCTTCCTATTTATTTTTCCCATAAATGTAGACTGTATTCCTCATAAATAAATTGAAATCTTTTTGAGGGGAGAACATGCCTTGTAAGAACTTTTTTTATATACTTCCCCGAAAAACAAGAAGCATGATGCCAAGCTCCTCAGAGGTCCCAAGAAATATATAAGGAAAGAGAGTGGCAGTAGTCTTCCAATCTCCACCCCCACACTCCCCGCACACTTTATTCAAACAGGTATTTCTTTGATATTTTCTTAGTTTATCTTGAGAACTTTTAGCAAGTTTATTTTTCCCATTATAAATGGTCAGAGTTAGATAAACAAATAATATCTAGAAATGCACATTGTAGAGAGCAGTCAAAAAGATTATATATAAATATAATATATACAATATAAATATATCATATATATTTATATATAAATATATAATATATATTATTATAAATAATATAATATTATATGTAAACATAATATATATAAAAGATTATTATAAATTCAAAACATCAAAGAACAAGTCTTAAATCACAACACTATGATTTAAAAGGAATAACTTTTAAAAAAGACAACTAAAACGATGCATTGGTTTAAGAAGTTTAATAAATGCCGCTGCCTAAATATTTAAATATTGACAGATAAAATACTTATGCCTACAAAATCGGACCAAATTAAAAATATAAATTAATTGTAAATCTTGAAAATACTTTATGAGGATGAGTTAAAAAAAATTGTGGGAGATACTCAGAGATAAAAAGTCATTAAAAAAATTACTTACCACTTTATCATCTCCAGGTGCTTCTGTGTTTGATATAATTAAGTTTTGTTGTGCTAAATCTTCAGGAAAACATTTTTTTTTTCTGGCACCAACAACTCCACATACTAGAGTTAGCAACACAGCTGAGTTAAAAAAAAAAAAAGTTTAATATACATAGAATAAAATACTTATCTTTTATTTCTTATTATCTAAGGTTCATATGAGGAAAATCAAGCTACTAAGCATGGTGTCCCATGAATTACCTTGGCCTTTGTAAATTAACAGGCCATGATTTAGCTTACAGTTTAAAATTTGAAGTGATGATATGTATATTTTGATTGCAGTCCTCGTTAAGAGTTTAAATTCTACCCATCATATTAAAATATTTAGAATCATAAGTTAAATAGTAAATTTTTAAAAAATGACATTTATGTAAGACCAAACTTTAAAGAGATTTACTGATTCCCAAAAAGATGGTTTGCCTATATTAGGACATGACAAAACAGATGTTTTCCCAGAATAGATTTATCTCTAGGTGTTTTAAAACCTACTTTGTATTTGGTCTACTCAGAATTTTCATTCTACATAACTGTGGGAGGTTGAATATGTGATAATGAAACTAATAGTAATAACAACAATAATTCTTTACAATGTTCTAAAATTCTATAGGAACACAGCCATACCCATCATTTAAATATATTCCAAGCTGCTTTCTTGCTACAAGGGCAGATTTGATTGGTTACAACTGAAATCACATGGTCTGTAAAGTTTAAAATATATACTATTTGGCCTGTTACAGAAAACATGTGCCAAGCCCAGTCTATTCTCTGTGGCCCCTTGTTACCTTCCTGGTTACATTTCTCCCTCCACTCCCGTCATCCACTACTCTCCATGCAAACTGGTCTCCCTGCCATTCCTTCATTTCTCCACACACACTCTCACGATAGGGCCTTTGAACTGACTTGCCCTCTGACTGAAGGCTCTTCCTCCAGGTATTCCACTTGGCTGATTCTTTTACTTCTTCCAAAAACCATCAAAGATACCCTTCTCAGTTAGATTTGACCTAACCATCTACTGAAAATTGCAATCACTAGCACCAATCCCCCACACTCACCCACACACTCTCTACAGCTCTACAGACCCTAATTAGTTTGCTCTATTTTTTTCCGCCACAGCATTTACTATATTTGTTTACTGTCACAAGGCTGTTTGTTTTTCTTTGTTTATTTTTGTCTGTTTTCTTGATGGATGAGTCCCAAGCACCTAGACACAGTTTCTGGCATATAGTAGATGTTTGACATATATTTATTTTGTCAAGGTGATGAAAAATAATGAACAGTTATTGGAAAAATACCATACACTGTTCTAAGCTCTTCACATGCATTAACTCAATTAATCTTCATGGGTACCCCATAAAGTAGGCTACTATAATTATCTCTTTTTACAGATGAGGAAACCAAAGCACAGTTAAGTAACCTGCCCCAGGTTGCATGGCTTGCAAATAATAGGGCTGGCATACAAACCCGGACAGTCTGGTTCCAGAGTCTTGGTCTTAACCACTAATCCTATCACAGAACAAAGGAACAACAGCTAATCTAGGCTAGAGGTTTCGATAGAAATAAAAAGAAAGGAAAAAATATGATACCATTGAGAACTACACAACTGGTGAGAAGGAGGTTAATAGAATTCAAAACTGGCAAGATATACCCAAGAAGAGATATTGCTGTGATCTGAACATCTCCCATAAGTCTGTGGCTGAATGGTGAGAAAGCATGAAATAAAAATGGCTCTTAGTGTAATTTCATAGAGCAGAAGATTTAGATTGTTTTATTTAGACCAGGAAATAAAGCTATACGTTGACAGATTTGGCACAAACTAAGGCATTTTCAAGAGTTCTGTCCAAGTATGACATTTTTATCTCAAAAAGGATCTTGGTCCCTCTTACAGAAAATATTCAATCAGAACTCAGATAATAACACAAGGGAATTTGTAAAGGGGACTCACACGTGATGGCTGGGTGGACAAGATTACTTTTTGAAGACCTTTTCCTGCACTCAGGTATTTATCACACATTTTAACTTTAAGTAAGTAAAAGGACTTACAGAAAAGTAACGCCACACCCAGGAGTATCGCAAGGATGGCCCATTTTCCAAGCGTCACATCAGCACTCCTCGAAGCTGCCAGACACTGACTTGGATAATCACAGTCACACAGATTAACTCTCAAGGTTTTTGTCGCAGATTGACCTGCTCTATCTTTTACAGTAATAGGAACATTATATTCTTGAAATGCAGCATTCTTCCAATAGGAAAGACGGGCAGCTGTATCTGAAAGAAAATAAAAGAATTATATTTTTAATGAACATTTATTCTTCCCTTAACATTTGTTTCACCACTCTTATTTTTAAAGACATTATTCTCAAGGAACTGCCTGCCATACGAAACGAATAAAAATGGATGACGACCTTCAACCTTTTCAAGCACTAATATTACCATATATGTGTTGCCCATTGCAACTTTTTAGAAGAGAGGCTTAAAGAAATAATTTGGCATTGGAATGACTCAGTAACATTTCAGCAATATTTAATATTCCCTTATCTATTCCCTTATCTACAAACTAATGGTGCTAGATTTGCTCTTAACATACACTTCAAGCATTTTTCTGTAGTACCAGTTTATGGCACTCATAAAGAATTAACACCAATCATTACACATAAAGGATGTCTTAAGTTCACATTCTCTTAACCATTCACCTTCTGGGACCTGTCCATTATCCTTATGTATAGGGCAGTGTTTCAAAGCACAATAGACCCTTTGTTATTAATGTCTTCCCTCTGAAGTCATCTCAATACCACAAAGCTAATTAATGTCACCCAGACTAGGTATAAGGCTTACACAAAAACACAGATATTTATATCATAGCAATATGTTTTGATCAACTGTGGTATTTCCTCAATAGTCTTAGCATCGTATTTTAATGACTTTATTATCAACTGACCAAAAGCTTCACACACCTTCAATGGCAATTATAACCTTTTGAGTTTTGCCGTAAGTGAAATGACAAATTAGCATAATGCACATCCTGGAAGTCATCCGTAAGTTCTAAGTCCTTCTTAAAGGCCCTGTTATAGCTGCTAAGAACTTCAAAGATTTTTGGCGGCACTTCATACTTAAAGCTCCCCAGAGGAATGTGAGTGACTACTTGGGTTTCTTTGGAACCCTTCAGGATCATACTGGGCTTAAGGTAAAGTCTTCAAGCCCTCTCCTCCCTCAAGACCCCGAGCTGAGCCCTGTCACGTCTCCTTCATTCATCCTAGTGCAGCAGCCTCTGAATTTTCCTCGCTACTCAACTCTGCCCTCCTCAAATTGCCCTAACGTCACCAATGTCAACTTTTGAAGACTTGAGTCTGGGTACAGCACTGCCTTACCAGCACACTCCCAATGCACACCTGCTGTCACCTCCTGTACAGGTGTCAGTCTCCTTTGCCTGGTACATAAGGCCCTTCACCCCAGATGCCATCCTTCTGCCCACTCAATCTCGGCATTCCTACTAAAACCTTCTCGACTCTAACAACACTGATTACTGATTCCCCTAGTATTTTCCTTCTTTATGCATATTTATCAATCAATATTGATTAAACAAACATTTAGTAAGCAGTTAGTATCTACTAAGCACTGGGCTACGTGCTGGAAATACACAGATGGATTATAAATATCCTGAGAAACACATGTATTGGAGGCGAAAAGTAAAAGGATGATAATACAACATGAAAGGAGCTATAAAAAAGGTAAGAAAAGGTCACGGTGCCACTCTTTCTACTTCAAGAAAGACTTCACAGACATGAGCATCTGAACTGGAGTCATGACTATCTTGTTGATCTTTCTATTTATCCCCAGAATCTGGAACAGTGGCTGGTGGATAGTAAGTACTCCATAAATAATACAAATTAATATCAAGCTAAGAAATGGGAAGAAGGTATTCAAGGCAAAAGGGGACAGCATGCACAAAAGTCCAGTTGCATGAAATAGCACAACATAGTAACAAATCAGCAGTGAACTGTGGCCGAAATATAGAATACTACACTCTCCAGAAATCACTAGCACAGGAGGCTCCCCTGGAAGGCTCCACCGTCACGTCTCTGTCCACATCTCACCATCTTTCCTTCCAGAACTATAGAGTGTTTGTCCCATACACCCAGATTCCTCATTTCCGGAGTTTGTTTACAATAAAATTTAAACTTCTCACGTTCTGTTCTCTCTTCCCCTTACTGGAGTTACTTTAAAAACACAACAAAAACAATTTGTCTTAATGATAAGCTGCCCAATATCCTAAGAAGCTTTTTTGTCTTTGTTGTAAATGTAAATTTTGCCTTCATAAAAATTACCATTTTTCATTTTATATACAACATATAACACAGACCTCATACAATATTCATAAAAGGTTAGCCTTATAAAATATGTTAATGAGAATATTAAAGTAAACAAGTAAATCCACTTTCAGTTATTTCAGAGCACATAAATCATTATTTTTGGTTAAATACCATTAACTTTGGTAAGGGTCCATATTCTACTGGTTTCTGGAGAAGGGTTTGCCAAGCTGAAATAAAACGGAGCACCATGGATACGTTCGTCTGGATCAACAGCTGAAATGTCAATATAACCCATCTTTGGTTTACAGATTACTAAATAATTTTGAAGTATTTCCGGTGGATTATCATTCACATCTTCAATGTTAACTACAAGTGTGCCAGTACATGATCTACCACCTAGGAAGAAAGGGAAAAGGTTCAGAGTAGTTTGTAAATGCTTTCATAGCTTCCTAAGGAAAAAAGTCAACTAGATCCTATATATATGTTTTTTTAAAATAAACTCTGATTATTAGAGGAAACAGTAAAAACAACATACATGGACAAATGAAACCTCCAGACCATCTAAAATGAGTTACTACTGTTGATAATATCAGATATAACTGCCAATAAACCTTTTACCAAAATTATTACCAAACAATAAAAATAAATGTCTGAATTTCAAACTCTCTATTTCCTTGGGTTCCTTCTGGTACAAATGTTAATAAGCAGCAAAGTGGCTACAGAAAAATTATTCTTATCTCAGTGCACATTTCAACCACCTAGGGAGATATTTAAAATATATGATGCTCAGGCTCCCTAACGAGGGATTCTGATACAGTTGGTTTAAGGGAGTGTGGTAGTGTCCACACAGGAATATTTTTTTAGAGTGCTGGAAATTATTTTAACATGAAGCCAGCCAGGGCTGAGAAACTTTGGGTTACTTTAAGGGACAGGGTTCAGGGAAAGGACCATTTTGACCTAATAATCAGCTGCATCATTTAAAGGCTCAATTTAAAGTGACATAAAGAGATCGAGAAGAGTCTAGTAAGACCATTTCACCTAGTCCTAGACTTAAGTTCCCTCTTTGTCCTTTAACATAGGATCTATAGGCACCTAAGGTTCTGCCATGCCGAAGATGTAAAGATGAATAAGACACGGTTTCTTGTCCCCATGCAGTTTCACCTCATTAGACGATTAAGAGAAATGGGAACAGTCTTTAAAGTAATTTCTAAGAATTCCATATTCTTATTACAAGAATAATTCTGCACAAGATAAATTGCAGTTTATTCTCCAATTCCTTTCTGAAATATCATGTTAAAACTTTTTTTTGACCTTGGTCTATTGCCAGGACTGTAACATTATACACGTCATTTCTGGGAGTCACAACCTCCCTGTCCAGGGTTTTGGAAGTTATGATTGATCCCGAAAGCTCATCAATGGTGATCCACTCCTTAGGATCATGCAATTTTTTGTACCTGTTAATAAAAAATAAAAATAGTCTTCAGCAATATGAAATGTATTAAAATAAGTTACTGTCTCAATTATTACAAATACAGTATTTTTACATGGTTATAGATTTCTTTGTACCTTAAGCCATTGCTACTTCTAGTTTCAGTGTCATATGCTTTATAGCCATTGATCTTTGTCCCCACTGCTGAATTTTCTTTAATCCGTACATATTGGGCTGCAGGGCTACATTCAGGCCCTTCATCCTGATCCCTCACACGAACTGTGACCAAGGCTTTGTTCACAGTTGCCATTCTGAGTGCAACATCTCGAGTAAACGGAGCTTCATTGCTCACTCCAATTTCCAAGATCACTTGACGGTTTTCTTCATAATTCAGAGGCTTCAAAAAAAAAGAACATGTATATCAATATCACTGTAAAATACCTTGGGGATTTCAAATAGCAAGTGAACTTTTGTAAATATAAACAGTGCTGCATAAATGCTAAGTTCCCATTTAGTCAATGCTGACGTTCATCCTTTGCTAAACAAAGAGGTGAGTCTTCACTAAGCCTTTAACGAGAGTGGTCCAAAAGTTTCTGCACGGGGTTTTGTAGAGTTGTATAAAAGCAATTCCTGAAATATTTGTATAGTTCATTCTTACTAAGGGAAATTATTCTGAACCTGGAGATAACGCAAAAGGATGACAGTGTTCTTATGACCCTGCTTAGAGCACTGTCTTACGGACCAACCTATGGGTCCTCTGACTCTCCAGGGGAACACAATGTTGTTTGACTTACTGTTTACTATTGACTAGGTCCTAGATATTTTATACCTCTTATAAAATTAGACGTTGACTTAAACAAAATGGAAAAAGTACAATGATTTTATTTCCTCTCTGCTAGAAAAGACATTCCAAATGTTATATTTTAATTATCCCATAAGGCATATAACTGAGCGATCTTATTTCAGCTTTTCCTTTTCTCAAAATCAATCCAGGTTCTCATTTCTTCTTAGGAATCTGCTTTGTCTTTTTGCTGATTCCTTCATTAATGAGTTAAGTAAAACTTTTACCCATGCTATCTATTTTTATGAAAATTATATATATGTTTTTTTGGTGAGGAAGATTGTCACTGAGCTAACATGCGTGCCAATCTTCTTCTATTTTGTACGTGGGACCCCACCACAGCATGGCTTGATGAGTGGTGTGTAGGTCCGCACCTGGGATCCGAACCTGCGAACCCCGGGCCGCCCAAGTGGAGCACGCGAACTTAACCACTGCACCACTACGCCAGTTCCTGAAAATTATATTTTTGACAATTGGAGAAGTATACTTGGGCACTGTCTGCAGTTTATCCATGAAATTCTCACAGTGAAAACGCAGAGGAGTGAGAGAACTATGATGTGCCTAATGATACTATTTATAATCCTCATCCCCATTTTACAAAGCAGGAAAGAGGAGAAGAGGAGATAAACTGATTTTCCCAAAACCAAAAGATATCATTTGAGCTGAAGTTTGAAGCCAGTCAGCCTGGCATGAGTTCATTTCCCTCACCACCACACTATAATCCCTCAGGTATGCAATGCTGCTCAATTGGTTCGCTAGCCTCTAAAAATTTTTAAATCAATTCTTTGATGGTAATTGATTTTTAGACAGCAAATCAAGCAAAACCCATAAAATACTATTTTACACTGTACTGCAAAATTGAAGTACTAACGACAAAGTTGAGATACTAACATCATGAATCCACTAAGAAGTCAGGAAGATTTCTGAATCATAGAACCCACAAAATATATGTGAAACTCTGTGATTTTTTTATGAACACTCCAGGAACTAAAGAATCAGGAGGGAAAAAGGATTAGTATCTGTTTATCTTTTGCTAATGAACACTATCTCACAAATTACATGTGTTGGTATGATCATGCAGAGTCAGAGCATCTCTTGGCAATGAGAAATGGATGGAAATTCAGGAAACAGCTGCTGCACTAGAGGAGACGCAGTTATTCAATCCAGAGCCTCTTGCTAAAGCCTTAGAATTTCTTTATGTAGTTTTTTGGGGCTTAAACTGGATATTGTTTTAGTGGCTTAAAACTCTGGAGGTTAGAAATCTGGTGGGATGAAATCAATGACTAATGAAGAGACATGAGTTCTCTTCTATCACAGGGTACCTTTTTGTTTCATCAATTGTAAACAAAAAGATGTCCAAAAATATCCTGCACTGAGATGCTAACAACTTCCTAGAAAATGAAGTGTTTTCTTGCAGAGAATGACCGAGAACATCTTCTTCTTCATTCAAGTCCGTATGCCCTCTGCTACTGATGATGAAATAGAAAGAAAAAACACTGAGATGGAAAGATTACACAGGACTCAGTTAAAGACTGTATCAGCTCATGCTCTACAGTTCCAGAAGAGTTATCTATTATGGAAAATTAAAACACTAGTCCCAAGAACACGTTAAGACTTTTAAAAAGGTAATAATAATGTCCTCCAATTTGCCGAGTACTTTCATTTTCCTTACTATAATTGAATAGCTCCTAAGGAGGCAGAGAGAAGTATTATTTGCATTTTACAGATAATACAGACGCTAACTTTTCAAGATCACAAAACTATGCAAAGCAATTTAACATGGTGCTTAAGTGCATATCCTTGGAATCAAAGAAATCTAGGTTCAAATCCTCTCTCTACTTCATCCTAGCTGTGTCACTTTGGGAAAGTTTAATTTCTCTGAGACTAAGTTTTCTCTTCTGTACAATTCTTGAAAGAGCAAAATTTAACAATTAGAACACACAGTATGTGCTTTTCCCTATAGGTTTTAGTAATCTCTCAGGCTGTCGTACAGGCAAATGAAGGGGAAGAGTGATGAATTTATTATTAACAGCCAATTTAGTGTAATAATAGGAGACACCAACTAATAAGGCAAAGCATGGAAGCTTTGTTCAGCTAAAAGAAGTAAACCTGATCAATCTTTGGTTTAACCTACTGATTATTTAATCCTATAGGGTATAAAGAAATTAATGAAGTGCACACCCATCCGGAACACAATCCCGCCTAACAAGGAAGGCCCAGTCATTGGAAGAGGAGGCTTCCTTTAAGGCAATCAACACAGTGATGCCATTCATCACTTACTCAGAACGCACAGTGGTTCTGAGTAAGGGCTCTGCGTCAGGCATATCTGGGTTTGCATCCCGGCTGTATCAGCTCCTAGCTATATGAACTGGGGCAAACTACTTCACTTCTTTGGGCTCAGCCTCCTTGTCCAAAAATGAAAAGAGTGATAGTAACAACCAGGGGATTGTTGAGAAGGTTAAATAAATCTTTTAATCCAACGGAGTTTGTTTTGTTTTTTACAATTTCGGAGAATGGGAAAAGAAGGAAAATAAATTATTTTTAAGAAGCAAGCCTAACATTGATATGAAAACGTAAGAGAAACTGTGCAAAGGGAGAAAATTATAAAGTCTTTTTTTTAATTGTAAAATAGCGGTAATAATAAGACCTTATCCTAAGATATTGTGGGAGACGTGACAACTAACTATAACTTACATAAAGTGCCTAATATCATTCTCTGTAACATAAAACATGCTCAGTACATGATAGCTACTTTTAAAATGCTAAAAGTATTTCCTAGATGTGCAAACTAGAATGCAATTATAAAATATAAGTGCAATTATCTTATGTTTAAAAATAATGGAAATAAATGCACAAAAATTTTATTAGGAAAGAAATGTTCTATAGTCTTCACAGACAAAGCAGTAAAGTATCACCATCTAATTGCTCCCTCCTGGGGGAATCCTGGAGCGGTACCCAGAAGCTGCTGACCAGAAATGAAAGAGATGTGTATTAGTCACGTGGAGTGGGAAATATTCTAGAATATAGGCTACAATTTCTGAACATATTTGGAAACATTTTTCTTAATATCTCTGTGATCAGCACTCCTTGGGTAAAAAAAGAAAATCCACTCCTTGGAATTCTGAATAGGAAAATATTGAATGTGTTGACATATACGTGTTTTTATTTTTAAAATATACTCTTTTGAGAAAACATACTAAAGATCACTTTGTATTGGTAAAAAAATAGTCACAATAAAAATTTAATTTCTAGGGTTACTTAAATTTTGCCTCCCATGAGCAAGACAAAACCATTGAAATAAAATAGTAATAATGGGTCTTAAACAATGGCCTTGAATGGGCAAGACCTGAGGAGTAGCCTTCTGACCAAGCATTTAGAGTGCTCTAAAATGTCTGAGCTTAGATCTTTGACTTGAGCTACTACAGTTGACAGGATCTGTCCACCTCAGATCTCAAACTATTCCTTTGACTTATTTCCAGAAGGAAGTCTAGGTGGTGGGGGGCAGGGCATGGAGAAGGATGTCCAGGAGAAATCTTTTACAAAACATCTGTCGCCAATCACATCAATTTTGTGGCAAATGCCTGTTCTACATAAGTGTGTCCAGCTTTGGAAACTGCACTTGATGCACAGGAGCCCTTTTCAAAAGAATTATACACCCCAGCCCCTCAGCCCACCCTGACCTCAGCTGCAGCTGTGATGGACACCTCCCATTTAAGCTGAGAGAGTCTCATCTCAAGCACACAAAGATTCAGCTCTTCAGAATCAAAAGTTTTTTCCAAAGCTACAAAGCTCCCACTTGCAGGTACAGTCCAGCCCAGAAGTAGAGAAGAGTTGAGGCTTCCTTGGGGTAACTTTCAACCAATGGAGCATGGGCATTGAGGATGAGAGTTGATGGATAAATGCCCCAGATACTCATCTTAGAGGAGTTAATTCTCAAGTATGTTCTACATGGTCCATTGTATGACTGAACACTAGAGGTGATTAACTTAACAATGTAGACTTGGTTGCCTTTTCATTCCTTCCTTACTTTCTCATTTTTACTCTAGCTTCTGGGATCCACGTCCTAAATATCTACCTTCATTGAGGTCTGTGTCTTGGGCTCTGGTTTTTAGAGAGTCCAAATGAAGACTGGATGGAATTGGACCAGTAAGGAGGAAAAATGATCAGTACTATTTCCTTATTTCCTCTCCTATTACTCTCAATTATAAAACTTCCTTTTTTAAGTAGTTGGTTTTAGTATTCAATTTGAGTAGATCATATTATAGAAAACTGATATAGGGAGAGCTTTATGTTGAGAGCCATCTGGAACAAATATATTTGACTAGTCACATCTAGACAGAACTTGCCAAGCCTTAGTACATAATCTCTGGAAATTCTTACAGAGGAAATAATTACAAATGGAGATGCTTACATACCAAAGTCTCCACCTTCTCGCTATTGGCAGACAAACTTCGTTTATTCAACGAATGATCCCTATATCCGCCCACAGGACAATTTTCTTTCTTGTTCTAGGCTAGGAATATAAAACCAATGATCCTTCCTAAACAAGGCTTTTTCTGCCCTCATAACCTGGACCCTAGAATGTAAGAGTGCAACCAAAAATACAATATGTAGAACAAAGATTAAGTTCATTCAGTGCACCTTTAAATGGATCAGACACAACTAGGCATATATTCAAGAGAGAGAGAATGAGAAGAATATGAGCTTCTAAATTATATGATGTAAGGAACAGTTAAAGGAACTGGGAAAATTTATTCTAGAGAAGGTCAGTCTCAATTAAACATAACAGCCTTTTCAAAAGAATTATACCTTTTCCATACAGTATTAGCAATAAAACCCGGAGCAAAGACATGGGATATAAGGAGAATAATTTAGTCACAACAGAAGTAAGGACTTCTGAGAAGCAGAGCTCTCTAAATATGGAATAAGCTGCCAATAGAGATAAGGAGATTCTTACAATTGAGAATGTTCAAGCATAAGTCAGGTAAATAATAACTGGCAAAAAAATTACAGAAGAAAGGCAAACATTTGATGGGAACAGTTGGACTAAATAGACTAAGTTCTCTTCCAACTTGTAGAGTCTATGAACTGAAACTGTTTAGTTGATTCAACCATTCACAGATTAAACCTTGTTAACTTGCCAAGTTGTCAATTATCTGTTATTACTGTACCTTTACAACACACAGAACACCTTCATTAGTTTCTTTGTCTGTACTGATTTTGAAATGTCCATTTTCATTGCCCTTTAAAATGGTAAAATTGGCTCTCCAATTGGCAGTGTTCATTAAATCCTTATCTTCTATAGATATTCGTAAGATTTCCACATTGACTGTATTTTCCTCTACTGATGCTTCATACTGAAACAGAAAGAACTCAGTGAAAACTTACTGTATGAAGAAAACTTTGAAAAAGAAAGTAAAATCATTCTTCCACTTCCAGACTGCTTATTCTTATAGTTTTTGCCTAGATTGTTTTAAAACCATGAATCACAAACAGTATTATTTCATTAAGGATTATCTTTAAAATGAAACAACTTCACTACAAATGGAGAGTAATGTTACTGATCTTTAACAAGAGGGAGATAACATAAGTATCACTATGAATAAATAAAAGATATTTATGTGTCTGCTATTTAATTTTATTCATAAAATAAACATATATACTTCAAATTATGATAAATATTTTATTAATTCAGATTAAATAACAAATGATAATAGGTGAAGTAGAGGTAGATTTTGATATTATATACTTACAGCACTTTGTTTGAAAGTGGGTACATTGTCATTTGAATCTTTTACTGTTATGATGCACGTTGATGTACCTATCAATCCAAAAAATTGACCGTCCATGTCTTGTACTTTCATTATCAATGAGTACTTGTCTACAACCTTAAAACAAAGCAAATATTAGCTTTGAAAACCTTTGTTTAAATTTATAAATGAAGCTTCAATTGTACACTCTTCTATTTATGCGTATCCAGGCTTTTATTTGATTTCCACATTTGCATATACACGAAGAATTTAGCAGACAGGGGTAAAACTGAAAACGTAGGCAGACGTTAAATTACAAAGCAGTATACTAAGAATTTAGACTTATGCTTTAAGTAGCAAGTAATAGGAAAAGATTTTGTGGGAGTCACAGGGAGAGCACAAAATAAGAACATTTGAGTTGCAGAAAGTATATTCCTAATTAAGGTTGAGCATAATTTGGAGTGAGCTGAGCTGGAAGTCAAAGAAACCAGTTAAAGAGTTCCTGAAACAGTCAAAAACAGGTGGTCCAAATCTGAAGCAGTAGAAAAGAGGACAGAGAATAAGAGTGACAGGAAAGTGAGGTGGGAGTCAGAAGGGAGTAGCACTTGATAACAGATTCCATATACGAGTTAAGAGAGAAAGAGGGATTGAGAATGATGCTCAGGTGTCCTACTTGGATAGATGGGCAGATTGGGCTATCACCACCCAATACAGGAAATGTGGGAAAGACAATTCTCTGAGGAAGTGAATCCTAGCAAGGTTGGGCAAGAAGGGACAAAAACAACGAGTTTTGTGTGGTATACATTGAATTTTATGTGCCTATGGGAAATCTAAGGAGAAAAGTCCAGAAGGCACCTGGATACATGGCCCTATACCTACAGGAGAGACCAAAGCCAGAAATACTGATCTGGGAGCTGTCGGTATGTAGATGCAGGTTGAAATAATGGCAAGAATCAGGTTATCCTGGAGAAGTTAAAGGATGAGAAGAGCTGAGTATACAAAGAACAGTAGCATTTCAAGCATAGGGGAAATAAGAAGGCTAAGCAAAAGACACTAAAAACAAAAGATTAAACTAGGGGGAGAACCAGAAATCCAAGAGAAGACAGAGTGTCAATAAGTGCCAACAATAGACAGGGGCATGAGGTAACTGTGGGATTTGGCAATTAGGAGGTCACTGTTGAGAATGGAGTTTGCAGATGGTATGTTGGTGATGAAATAGAGTCATTAGTGTGGGATACTGGAATTGGCCAACCCAAAATGTGTCTCTTTGGTTAAGTACAAAAGACTCTTAAATAAACTCTGATGTTCCCCTTAACTGCCTAAAAGAATTTAAGATAGAAGCCCTGTCGCCAGGATAATTCTGGGTATCGGTAGACTGTGAGGGTCCTTGCTAAGCCCATTCTTATCAAAGTTCTGTCTACCAAACATCTGCTTTTCTGTTTCCAAGTCAATTGTCTTCCTCCCCTTTGAAGTCCTAAACTACTACTCCCAACATCCTCCTTTGTCTTTTGCTGAAGATGGTATTTAAGGTGGCACTTCGGCAATTCTGGGGAGTTACTCAACTTTGCTGGATTTCTTCCATGTACACATTATTAAGTTTTATTTGATTTACTCCTATTATTCTTTCTCATGTCAATTTAATTCTTAGACCAACCAGAAGGACCTGGAGGGTAGAGGAATTGTCTTCCTCCCCTCCATTAGCTTGTGACATAACCACCTCAGCTGCTTATCTCTTCGGTCTTACTATTCTTGAGCCACTCCATTTGTTGTTCCATTTCACCTCATTTTCTATCTCCCCCTAAGTATTCCTCAGTCTTCATTTTACTTGTCTCCCTGCTACATTGAAAATTAACATTCACATCCTGAAATGCTCCTCCCAGAGGCTCCAGGACCCTCTGATACTCTGTTCTTTCTTCCATTAAGTGCACTATTTCCTTATCTCCCTTGTTCATTTCTTTACTGCCTGTATTCTTCCCCATAAAATCCTATTAGATTTTTTTTGATCAGGCAAACAAATCTGGGTTTGACCCCAAATCTATATGTGTAACCTTAAAATATTTCATTTTTTCTAAGTCTTATTTTTCAATCTGTAAAAAAATGAGGGAAAAAATCCTTGCTTTCCCTCGATTACCACATCATCTCTACATATTCCTCCGATACAAAAACACATTCACATTGTCCCCTTCAAACTTTCCCATTTATTTATTATTACCATTATGTGCTTTATCACACAAAATGTCCTGCCAACACATACAGACAAAAATAAAAATAATAGTAAATAAAACCTCTGTACTACTTTTGATTCCTTTTTGTAAGTTCTCGCCATCTCTCCCTTTTCCTTTGGCATCAAATCCCATCGATTTCTTCTGTATAATTATCTCTCCCTGTCATGTTGATTCTTCGATTTATGCTATTCTAATTGCAGAGGGAACCGCTGAAGTGTTCCAATAAAGCAACTTTGTACATGTGAAATTGATTAACGTGCCTCAGTCAATAATGCATAACTCTGAGTTAAACGTAGGCTGATAAAATGGACAGAGCAACAACAAATGATTAGAAGATTCAGTGTGGTAATTTGACTTGGGCAAGTCAATCAATCTTTCTGTCACACTTCTCCTCTAGAGATTGGGAATAACATCTATCTAGTCAAATAGGAAAATTATAAGGATCAAATAAAATTATGCATAAAGAATTTGAACATAAAGTACTATATACATGACAATATGCTACTACCTATCCTCCAAATAGTGTTACAGATTTTTAATAATTCATCAACCTTGTCTCAACTAATCCTTTCCTGATAAAAAGCACATATCTACAATATCTGAATAGGAATCATGGAACAAGCAAAACTAATTGTCCTGCATGAGGAAACTAAATGTCCTACATGTCCTAACTGAGCTGGAACTAACTAGCCACACACAAGAAATAAAATAATATTCAATAAGAACAACTTTCATAAGAAATATCTTTTGTTCTCACTCCTTCTAAACACCAGTTGACCTGTATTTCTATTCCTTATGGTTTCTCTCATATAAGAAATAGAAATTACATAAAAAAACAGGTAACATGACCAGGAATTCTTATTATCTCATGCCTAAATAAAATACAATTAGAAACTCCAAGCCCACAGGTTGGCAAATTACAGTAAATGGGGAGAGGCGCTCAAGCCCCCGGGAAACGATATTCTCCAGTGTGAAAGCTACCTCTCTGTCCAGATAAGGAGAGACTGTGGTGATTACGCCTGTGCTGGGATGCACGGAAAAGAGCCCAGGTGATCTTGGCCTCTGCTCCAAAATGCTATACTTCAGACGTGTATGCATCGTGTCTGGTTCATCTCTGTCCGTGGCACAAACCACCCCCACTGTAGTACCTACATGTTTAAAAGAAGAGTCTTTCATTTCCAGAATTGCAAAACGTGTTGCGCAATATCCACAATTTTCAAATTTTAACAATGATGGTGGAAACCTAATTTAAAATATATTTCTTACCAAAGGTATTACGTCTTTAGATAGTACTCATGAAGATGACTTCAAATTTATAATATGAAATACCTGGATGCTGAGAATCAAGGTACACTTTTACTTTGCTCACAGTTTAAAATGTTTGATAGTAAATTACTAAAAACTTATTTACCCGGCATTCAAGAGTAATTTCAACACACATTCCCACATAGTGCAATAACAAACCTAGCTGGAGAGAGAAACCATGTTTCCTGAGTAAATTGGATTTTAACAATTAAACTTTTGATTAGTAGCTAAATCAAGACTGACTTGGGATAAAATTGTATAGATGGTCAAGTTGACCTTTCACATCCCAGTCTCCTTTCTGTGATGTTTTTGTTTTTTGCTAGTCTCTGATTTGTCTCATTCTGTTCATCAACTTAGTACCCAGATGCCACTGTCACCAGCCCCACTTAATCCTCAGAAACGGATTTCATACTATTTACCATTCAGGGAGAATTTAAGTCAACTGCTTTTTCAGTAAGAGCTATTAACACTTGTCACCTGTGTGGAATGTAAGAATATTGCCCTGGTAGAGGATTTCAGGTATCGAAGAGCGGACATACTTTATAGCGTAAGGATAGCATTCCAATGCCTATGCAAACGTAATGCATAGATCCACTTTGCCTTAGCCCTGTATGTAAGGCTAGCTGAGGAACAAGAGATGGATACACACAATCATAAATATATATATATATTCATTGAAATATTGTATTTAAGGGAATTAAAAGACATAAGACAAGGAAATATTAGTTTTAAATAATTCTGTCACTAAAAAATATCCTTAAAGTTTACATATATGTGTATGTGTGTATATGTGTGTGTAAATAAATATATATATTAAACTTACATATATATATATATATATATATATATATACACACACAGTAGAGAATGTCCAATTACATATTTATAAATAAGGACAAGATTTCTGCAGTGGATCAATACGAAGACATGAAGTAATAATCTTATTATTATAAGAAAATAAATGTTATTCATCTATCTTTTCATAGAAAAAAGTTTATAATCTTTTTAAGGTATAACATTTTCTTCCTGCAGATTTACTGACAGCTGGAAGATATAAATTCTGTTTTAATTCTCTGGATATGGAACTGCTTTACTTATAGAAAATCTTCCTAAAATCTTGAGAATTCATTTCCTCGAGTGCTATACTTTGGTATTAGCTGAGCATGCTTTGTCCAAACCCTCTGTGGGAGAGTTAAGGCAAACTCGAGGAACACCTATTAGTTCAGAGTTTCACAGCCTTAATAGGTCTGATCTTGGTGTGAGATGCTTAAAGCACCCTGGGCTAATCAGAGCATCAAAGCGTTTGTCCTTGATTCTTCTCTGTTACAACAGAATCCTCAAGAAAGAGTTTGAAACCAATTGTCTCTCTTTGAAAAGAGAAAAATGTAACAGAGTCATAGACTTGTGAAGCTAAGAACAGTATAGGTCATCCAGTATAATAACTCCTTTTACAGCTCAGAGAATTCAAAGGGACTTCCATGAGTTCCCACAGTGAATTAATAACAGACCCTGAATCAAAAACTAGGTTTCCTAAACTCCAAACCAATGACTTTTATTTTCTTAATTGTAGCATGTGAATAATAAAGAGGTTAACATCTATGACATCAAATTATTAAAGTAAAATATAAAGGGGAATAGCAAATAAAATAATTCAGTGAAGATCTAAGTAACTAGTAGAAACCTTAACAAACGAGTCAGCAAAGTCATCCTTTACTGACTGAGTCCACGTTTGTTCAACTTTATTGTGAGTGGTTATTCTCCACATTGCAGGTCTCAGAAGACATCATAAACGCCGCAATTACAGGCCAACTAAACTGAAATACATATTTGGTTGTCCACATATAAGAGCAAGCATTCAGGATGGAAAACATGATATATGCAGTTTCTCTAAAGTTATCCCAGTATTCATTCTAAATTCAAAGTGGTAAAGTAGTAGTTTTAAGAGAAGAGACAATAGAAATAAGAGCTTTAAAAAAGCTGTATCCTGAGCCAGCGCTGAAGGACTAGTGGTCAAGTTTAGCGCTAACCGCTTCAGCAGCCCAGGGTTCATTTCCCAGGTTGCAGAACCACGCCACCCCTCTATCAGTTCCCATGTTGTGGTGGTGGCTCACATAGAAGAACTAGAATAACTTACAACTAGGATATGCAACCATGCACTGGGGCTTTGGGGAGGAAAAAAAAAAAGGAGGAAGATTATCAACAGATGTTAGCTTGGGGTGAATCTTTCCCTGCAAAAGAATTAAAAAATAAAACAATTTTATCCTCAGTGGATGTCATTCAATACTTTCCTAAATAAAACCTAATAAAAAATATCTACACTGATTTTAGTTTTATTGTACATTCTACCTTGCATGTCCTCTCTTGGAGGTGAGAATAATGATAAACCCGCATAATGATAAAACAAAATAAAGTATATAAACCAAATATTGTACAAAGCTTGAATAACTGTTACATGGTTTTATAATTAATTGGTACCATATTGACAACACTACAAACTCATGTAATATCATGTAAGTTGCACATTGTTTGGATTTGATGGGATTAAATGCATTCTGGCAAATAGATACTGGTCCAATATCATCTCAGAATGACCTGGCTTCGAGTATAAAAACCTCAATGTCTCAAAACATGTACATAAACATATTTCACATAGTACATTTTACTCTTAAAAGTTGTCTTACCACAAAGTCTAAAAGGAAAAGACCTAAGTCTAAAGTGGATAGATTTAACTAAATGAAAGTCCTGAACTTCTGTAGCTCAAAAAGAAGTTTTAACATAATTGAAAAGCAATAATACATTGAGAAAGTATTTGCCATGTGACAGTAAGTTAAATTCTTAATATGCAAAGAACACTTTTAAGTAGATTTAAAAAGTTGTTAAGAAAAAGATAAACACCAAGGAAAATAAGGGCAAAGAAAATGAACATACATTTCATAACAGAAAAAACACAAATGGCAAATGGAAACAAGCACAAAAAAATTCAATTAGAAAAAGTTTTCTTACCAATTCTACTACTTTCTGGAACTTCAAAATTATAAATTGCTTCTGTGAAAATAGGGTAGTTGTCATTTTCATCCTCCACCCTGATGGGCAGTGGAAGAGGTAAGTCTGCTGAATACCCATCTGCAGTGGACGCATAGGCAATCAACTGTAAAACAGGAGAAAGCAAGTTCAATTGGCCATTAATACAATATTCTAGCAAGAAAGAGTACTATGCTTTATCTACTACCTTCTTTGCAAATCTTTTTAATAATAAATCACTTAAAATTTCTATTCAATACTTTCTTTAATCATCAAAGCATCAAATGGAGAAACACTTTCCTACAATAAAGAGCTTCCAGTATTTAGCAGAAATGGCTACCCTTGAAATAAAACTTCAGAGTACAGCGAAGTCAAGGACAACTCTATCCATTAACCTAAGGAATCAAATGCGAATATAGAGACTTGAATTATAGTCCTTATTCTCTCCATAATCAGAAAGTTATGTTGGGGAGAACAATTAAATTCAAGGCAATGGGAAAAATTCCTACTACATCATCTAAATGAAGCAATGATTCCCAATCTTGTAAATACCAACCCCCTTTATAGTTTTCCCTCATAAATTACATATTTTAAGAGTTTTTCTAACAGAATTTATTTGCCAATTTCTGCATTGCTAATTAATCAAAGGCAATGTAATGTCAAATAGAATGTACTCCTATTTGGCACACAATTGCAACACTGATTTGAAATTTTTCTAACCAAAAGCAACGAAATGTCACGTGGTGGACATCAGTTACCTCTGCTTACCCAGCATCTCTTACTTCTTCTAGGAAGAGAATCCCTCTTTCCTGTGGAGACTCATTCTCCCTGCACCACAAAGATGACCACATGACCCAGGAGCATTTACCATGTTAAACTGAAAATTGTCTTGAGTTATTCCCCCTTGACTGTAGGCTCATTCCTATCAGAATGCTGGCTTATTATCCCTTGTTTGGGTTTGGTCTCCCACTTTTGTTTCCCTATCTAGCTCTCAGACATGATCAGAGAATCACACAGGTGAAAGGAAGACAAAAAAAGTAGTTAAAGCAGAAAAGAGAAGAGGCCATTACAATCAACTATGGCCAGATCCTGGAGAGAGGGAAATGTACCATGACCAGAGAGAGCAGGAGTGTCTCATACGCAAAACCAACTCCTGGAAATTTACTAGAATTTACATTCAAATGCAATGAAAGCTCTTTGCTTCACTTCAGGCTTACCTAAAAGGAGCTGAGATAAAGAGGAGACCAAGTATTCCAAAATATTGCACAATCTATTTTCTTTGACTTTAAGATACCCTCTAAGAAGAGAGTGCAAGAAGACAGGAAAGAGTAGATGGAGTATCAGAAGAAACATAATCATTTAAAGTCACGTATATCAACAAAATCCCTACATCAAAAACATCATATTCTTCACGATCCACAGGCCGAGTACAATACAGATTTCCAGTGTCTCTGTCTATGAAAAACAAATTTAAAGGTTCTTGGTCAACTCCACGCCCACTTATTGAGTAGAAGATGGTATAGTTCTGTGCTGCATCAGATTGAACCTAAAAGGAAAAATATATATATGTAAAAAAATTAAAGTTAAATTCTGTTAAAATGCTATTTTTAAAAACTCAGCTTATGTGTTTATATTTTTCATTTTAAAGAACTGTCTTTAATAAAATAACAATCACATTTGTCACTTCATCAACTCAACACACAAAACAGTAACAAGATTTGGCAAAAGATTTTTAAAAACTGCTCAAACTTAATGAAAACAATGTTTAACATACATAGTAACCAAAGAAAACCTAATTAAAAACAATAAGGCATAATTTCCCATCTAGTGATTTGACAAAGATAGAAAAAAACAATACCCATTTTTGGTAGAGGTGAGGCAAACAGGGACTCTCATACATTGATGATAAGAATGCCAATTGGCATGTTCTTTAGGGAGAGGAACTAACAAAAATTAAAAGAATGAGCTATGAGAATAAACAGAGAAGACTCTTCCCGGCAGAGGAAAGAGGAAGTGCAAAGGTACCAGGCTAGGGTCGTGCTGGGAGTGTTCAAGGAGCAGCAAGAAGGCTACTGTGCTTGGAGGAAGGAGAGCTGGGGGAAAGAGGTAGGAGGTGACGAGGAATGCAGTAACAGGGCCACATCATGTAAGTGATTCCAAGGATGTTGGCTTTTCCTTGGAGTCAGATGGGGAGCCACTGGATAATTTAGACAAGAGTAATATTATCTGAATTACATTTTCAGGGGACAATACTTGGTGTTTTGTTAAGACCAGCCTTGAGTGGGTGAGTGGGTAAGGGAAAAAAGCAGGAAGACCATTTAGAAAGTTACTACAAAAATTCAGAGATGATAGTTTGTTAGACTGCCATGGAAGCCATAGGGGTGGTGTGAAGTGGTTAGATTCTGGATACAATCTGAAGGTAAAGACAACAGGATTTGCCGATGAGTTGGATGTGTGGTACAAAGATGCAAGTCGAGTATGACACCATGTCAGAGGGTGCTAATATCCCCTAATATCTACTCTGCTCATCTTCTTAGTATTAGAATTTATCGCTGATCACAAGTGTGCCCAGAAGAACAACATTTCTCAATCTCCTTTGCAATTGGGTATGGCCACATGAAAAGGTCAGGTCAATGGGGTGTGAGCAAAAATAATATATGCAAGATCCAGACTGCTCTAGAAGGTAAAGGAGTGTGTTCTCTCACTTGGACACAGAGACGAGCCATCTTGCACCTGCAGGGATGGCCAAACTAAAAAGGAAAGAGGCCTGGGTCCCTAGTGCTTTCTCAAATTATAATCTCTTTCCCAGGTCACACTTTTACTTGAGAAGAATAAACCTCTGTCTTGCTAAAACCACAGTAATTTGAGATCTTGGTAAATGTAGCTATGCCAACACACTACAATAATACTGGAATTAAAAGCTTAACTGAACATGGCCTGGCCCCGTGGCGCAGCAGTTAAGTTCACACTTTCCACTCTGGTGGCCCAGGGTTCGCTGATTGGGATCCCAGATGCAGACATGGCACCGCTTGGCAAGCCATGCTGTGGCAGGCATCCCACGTATAAAGTAGAGGAAGATGGGCATGGATGTTAGCTCAGGGCCAGTCTTCCTCAGCAAAAAAAAAAAGAGGAGGAGTGGCAGCAGATGCTAGCTCAGGAGTACTCTTCCTCAAAAAAAAAGAAAAAGAAAAAGAAAAAAAGTTTAACTGAACAGAACAGATGGATATGGTAAATTGGGGCTCAACATCTATTTTATCCTCCTGCTAGGTCCTTTCATAGTGTAGACGTTAAAAAGATTTAAACAAAAACAAACCCAAAACACACCATTGTCCAGTCTCTTCAAACCAGAGTTCCAGATTTAAGTATGAACAAGCAAGTGTGCTTGCATGAGATTTGGAGGTCATAGTGAGGTAGATGTCTCATCTTTGCTGCTTCTGCTGTTTTTGGTGGCATCACAGGTTAGATTATTTATTTTCTTTCTTTTGTTTTTTTCTGCAGCAGCAGACGTTGTGGTAGTTTTTCATCAGCATTGTGGGTCTTGAGAGAGAGCTATGCATCAAACTTCTTGCTGACACTAATTGGAGCAGTTAAGATGGTATTCTGGAGCTACATTTGCAGGACTTTCTGACTGTGGTCATTTCTTGACCATGGCAACTTCCTGGCCCTGGTAGCAGCACTTTTGTTCTAGAATTAGTGGCTTCCCCATCATGGAGAAAACAGCATGTCCCCAGTTGTAGATTCCGTGGTATAACTTGGGGACTCGTTCCTGAAAGTTCAACCTAAAGTTTGTTTCTTTAGCCCTCCCAACAATTCTGTAAACTGTTTGATACATTGTAACAAATCCATATCTGTTAATTTCTTAGAGAGAAATATGCTCTTTACAACTAAAACTTTACCAGACAGAGTGATGCCCCAACAACTGAAATAATGGAGCTGCCATTAACTGAGATGGGAAGATGTTTTTAGGAGAAAGCCCGAACATTTGATTTGTATATATGTTAAGTTTGAAATGTTTACTAAACCTCCAAATGGAAATATCAATTAGGTAGTTTGGGCTGGAAATAAGAAGTCTTAAGCCTCCAATGTATAAATAGTACTTAAAGCTATGAGACTGGATGAGGTCACCAAGACAGTGAATATGAATTAACAAAAGACGAAGTTCCTGGACTAAGGCCTGGAGCTCTCCAAAGTTTAGAGACTGGGGGAGGTGGTAGCAGAAGTGATAATCAGGAAGAACCAGCAAATCATACTAAGAAGGAGTGGCCAGTGAGGTAAGTAGAAAACTAGGTGAATGGTGTCCTAGAGGTCAAGCGAAGAAAGAATTTCAAAGAGGAGGGAGACGTCAGCTATGTCAAATGTACAGATATCAAGGAAATGAGGACTGAAAGGTAATGACTGGTTTAGCAATGCAAAGGCTAAAATTAGCAATGATCAGTATAACTTTGATAATCAAAAATCACTTTTTAATATATCTCATCAGGGCTTGAAGTACAATAATTAAAAAGAAGAAACGAGTCTAGCACTGGATAGAATAAAAAATAAGCATGAAAGACACTGGAATAATAGTCAAAAATGTAAACAAGTAGGACACTGATCACACCACTGCTATTAAACATCATTAAAAGCAATAGAAATTTAAGGGGAAAGGGCAAGCACAATGCTGTAGCCCTACGTGAGTAACTGTTTTCAATGTGTATGGTCCACTTAGATTTTCATGAAAAGTAAATCTGACTCTGCTTAAAAACTTCTCCTGGGGGCCAGCCCAGTGGCATAGGGGTTAAGTGCACACACTCTGCTTTGGTGGCTCAGGGTTCACTAGTTCAGATCCCAGGCACGGACCTACACACTGCTCATCAAACCATGCTGTAGCAGCATCCCACATACAAAATAAAGGAAGATTGGCACAGATGGATGCTAAGTGCAGACCTATACACCACTCATCAAGCCATGCTGTGGCAGCGTCCCACATACAAAATAAAGGAAGATTGGCATAGATGTTAGCTCGGCAACAATCTTCTTCAAGCAAAGGAAAAGAGGAAGACTAGCCAGGGATGTTGGCTCAGGGCCAATCTTCCCCTCCCCCTCCCCCAAAAAACAAACTTCTTGTTTTTAGGAAAAAGTTAAACCTCCTAGCAGGACACACATGGCCCATTATGGTTTGACCTCTACCTGCCTCTTCTGCCTCATCTCCCTGCTCCAGCCCCATCAAACCTATGAAGACGAAGCTACCCAGAGCTCCTCTAAGGAGTCATGCTCACTTTCACCTCTGTACCTCCCTCTCCTTCCACAATTATGTGCCTGCGCAACACTTCCCCATCCCTTAGGACTTAGATGTCTCCTCCTCTAAGTCTTTTCTTGTTTTCTACCTCATTTTATCTCAGAACTTAGTGCTCCTCCCATGAATTCTCAGATCACACCAACCCCCCTCATCACTCAGAATTGTAATAATTTGCTTACTTCTCTCTTCCTCACTGGATGAATAAACCACATGAGAGCAAGGGCCATGACTTAACTCAGTTCCAGCTTCAGTACTTCGAGCAGTGCCTTCTACAGGATACAGCAGGTCCTCAATAACTAACTGCTAAATGGACGAATAAACTAACAAAAGCCATTTAATGACCGCAGTCTTTCTCATATTATTATTAATAGCAGTTTTTTAGTGATCTTTTAGTTTTTCTCATTATTAGTTTTTTGGTGACTTTTTCTCATTTTACTCACTTTTATTACATTTCCTGAACACCTTCAATCAAATCTGCTTATTTTAAATGTTTAAAGAGTTATGAAACCTGAACAAAACAGACTCTTGGGATCAGAGCACTCCCGCTCAGAAGGTGTGTAAAACCTACTTGTTGAAGAAGCAGAGGGAAAGGGCCCAAGGAATTCTCCTGCATTGAACAGGGAATAGGAGCCCATCTCCTCTTGGAACGCCTGAGAACAGTTTCTTTAAGATGTCTTTTCCTCAGCACCTGCATTTAGAGAAAGAAAATTAAATAAACAAAGCATCACAGACTATTTTGTTGTAAAATAGCAGATAGCCCACAAACCTAACACCTCCCTGGACGCTCAGTCTCAGGAATTTCCGTGCGGAAGCTCGAGACCAGATAATAAGGTCTTCTTGCATTAGAAGGGTAAGAAGGAATGTATCCAGATTTTAAGTTTTCATAAACTAGAGACTTTGCTCTTGTCTACCTTTCTAACACTGAGCATACTTTCAGGTCAGGGGAATCATCCCGAATTCTTACTTCTTCTTGTTCTTTCCCCCACAGAGATGGAGAACACATCCTCTTTATAACAATCTCTAGACAGCACTTACTTGTTCTTTCTGCTAAAACCTCATACTCTTAGGTCAACCAGAGTAGAAACACATATTCTCCACTACCTTAACACTCTATCAGCACTCTCCAATATGGCAGCCCAAGCCATAGGTGACTCTTTAAATTTAAAGTAATTAGATTAAATAAAACATAAAATTCCATCCTTCAGTTGCACTAGCCACATGCGAAGTGCTCAGTAGCCATTCATATTGGCCTACCATAGCAGACAGTGCAAATTATAGAACATTTCCATCACTGCAAAAAGTTCTATTGGACTTTTTAGTGATTTCCATTTCATTTCATGGTGTAGCAAGGAAGACATTTTATATCCTGAAAGTTAATTGATAAATAATTTTATTAAACATTTATTAAAGTGCTAAACAGTCATTTAAATTAACTTTATCATTAATACACTTAACATTGATTACTTGTAATGTAGTCCAAACCTTAATCATTTTTGTGACTACTTTCCTAACAGCATTCCTCTTGATGTGGAACCTAGAACTGTAGTGAATAAGCACCTGAGTGACGGCCGATGCCATGCCATACATACTCTCATTGATACTCAGACATTCTCCAGGATTTCCATCCCATTTTAACATCAGAATCACTGTGGCACTTAAAATCAACTTCTTATTCACTGGGAACTACTACTTGTAATATTAATTTAGTGTACACCTATTGATTATGGGTCAGGTATTCCTGAAACTATAAGCATGAAGGGATCAATTCACGTCGTCAAACAACTACACCTAAATTGTATGCACTAATACAAAATCCCAAAGGCTGAAATACAGGAGTCACCAAAGTGACACTGGCACACAAAAGTAATTAGTTAGACTTCAGAGGTGAAGAAGCCTTCACAGAGGAGGTGTCACTCAGATTTAACAAAGCAAAATCAAAAGACAATTATTAGTCAATGTGGAGAAAGAACTGGGGAGAAAGAGGAGGAGAGGGGAGGGAGAAAGGGAAGAAAGAGAGTGGGAGGGAAGGGGGGAAAGCAAACGGAAGAGAAAGGAAAAGAAGAAGAAAAATCCCTATTTATCCTTTGGTCCTCCATGCAATGCAATTTTCACGGAAAGTTATTTAAATGAAAAGAAAAAGACGGCTTGAAAATATCAATGTACTTTGAATACCTTCTTCTGATGTTCCAGGAGCACAGTAATCTCTTTCTGTGTCTGTCTCTTCGTGTCAGAAAGCCATATGGTGAACGATCTTTTCTCATCAGACAACTCAACAGCGCTGGCCGTGTATACTGACCCGTCATCTAGGACTCTGAAATCAGAGTCACTCAACCGGACGAGATCTGCAGACCCGAGGCACTCTTTCAAATCAACTGTAAGTAACAATTTCCAAGTTGTGAAGTAGAAACACATGCAAAAAGAAAAAAGAAGTGTTGAAATAGTTTATACAATCTTCTTCAAAATCATGAAGTGGCGTGAAATGAACGAATCACTTTGTTTTTACTAAATATCTTAACCAATCTCATTACATGTATTAAAAAGTGATAATTTTCTTCCAGTGAAAAAATAATAATTATTGATTGTATTCTTGTATTAAATAAGGTTTTAAACCTTTATATGCTTCTAAAAACCTTATGAAAATCATCTTCCTATTAAAGAGGTGTGCGTGTTGCAATTATGACAAAGCTGAGCTATAGGCTCCCACATGCACATGCACCTGAATAAACAAACAAGTTTTCCTTTTTTTTTTTTAAAGATTTTATTTTTTTCCTTTTCCTGACCCCTGGTACATAGTTGTATATTCTTAGTTGTGGGTCCTTCTAGTTGTGGCATGTGGGACGCCGCCTCAGCGTGGCCTGATGAGCAGCGCCATGTCCGCGCCCAGGATCTGACCCGACAAAGCACTGCGCCGCCTGCAGCGGAGCACGTGAACTCAACCACTCGGCCACGGGGCCAGCCCCACAAGTTTTCCTTAACAACATAGTCTAAGTCTTTTAAGATACATCTGTCTTCAACGAGAAGTTATAAACACATGAGCCCAAAGAGCGACAGAGTGTATTAGTTGGGCAAATAGTCAAGTAAAAAAAAATCTATTTTTGAATTCTTCCCACTGGCACTTTTCTGTTACGTTGCACCCCCCACTCCACTCCCTGGGACCACAATTTTTTTGTGTTCCCATTCCTAGCTTTCTAGGGCTCCCCAGTGAAACTCTCCCTGGGAATTTTCTCTAGTGAAAAGTAGTAAGATATAAGTATCCATATAAGTGTTTTGATACTTATATTAAAAGTATCAAATCTATCCCATTCTTCAACTATCTGTTTTAACAGAAACCAAACTGATATATCAATATTCACTTAAGTAATAGGCTCTCAAAGGACTCATATGTTACTCATGTATAGTGTTTTCACTTTAATCCAAATCCGTTACATATGGAAACGTTTCATCAAAAAGAAGTGAACATATTTACGAGTGACGACATATTTCTCCCATCTTCACATTTTCAGAATGATAACCTCTGGTCTATTCCCCTAGAGGAACATCCCTGACCTCTCTTTACATCCTTTTCTTTCTTTCTTCCCATAAGAATAACAGTGGCATGTGTTTAATAAAATTAAATGAGGCACTTTAACCAGAAATGGGACACACTGTTGAAAAGTAAATTTAGTATCTCTGGAAGAAGCTATATGTCTTTAAAAAGAAAAAAGGAAAATCATGATACTTTCCTCTAATATTCCCTGTACCACATGGAATGTCCACCTTGGCAGAGTTTCCCAACTGTTAGGAAAATTTGAGGTCCCCCAACTTCTCAGCGTGCAAATAGCTGATTAAATTTAGATTTGAATGGAATAGCTCACCTTGTTCTGTTCCCCAATGCAGCTAGAGCATTGATAAAAACACAACTCTGATTCAGCTCCTTATCTCTAGTTCTCTAACACTAGAATCCTAGAGCAGTGACAGGGCTATGTTCTACATGCGACTCCTTATGTATTTTTTAAACTGTTAAAACATAAATGGCTACAAAATCATGGCTTAGCACATTTGCACTAGAATCAACCAAAGACGTCAATGGAGTTATAAGGAACAGAAACATATATTTAAACTTATCTTGAATTAGATCTAATTATAAACAGATTCAGGCTAATTCCAAAAGGTGAAGATTGGATAACATGATCTTTCCAGAATAAGTAAGATAAATTTCTGTTTTTAAAAACACTGTTTTGAAATTTCTCACCTTTGCCGACCATTTTGTTTGCCTCTAGTTTAGAAGGTATATTAAATATCACCATTTTGCAGGATTCACAAGCAAAACTGAAGACCTAGAATGAAAAAGGTCACATTAATACAGTATAGAACAAAGAACAAAGCTTCAGTTATGCAAGATAGCTTAAGTTATGCAAGAGATCTGTATAGCATAGTGCCACTAGTCAACAATACTGTATTGTATACTTAAAATTTTTTGCTGAGAGGGTAAATATTATGTTAAGGTTCTTATCACAAGAAAATAATACTACTAAAATAAAAAGGGTGGGAGAGAACTTTTGGAGGCGATGGATACGTTTATAGAATAGATTGTGGTGATGATTTCACAGATATATACTTATCTCCAAACTCATCAAGTTGAACGTTAAATACACACAGTTTTTTGTATTTCAATTTTACCTCAATCAAGTGGTTTTTTAAAAAGAATAAAGAACAAAGCCACATTCATCTCAATAGATGCAGAGCAAGTAATTGATAAAATCCAACACCCACTTATGATGAAAAACCCTCATCAAACCAGGACGAGAAGGGAACTTGCTCAACATAATAAAAAACTATGAAAAATTTACAACTGACGTTATGCTTAATGAGAAAGACTGCTTTCCTCTGACATGAGAAACAAAACAATGATGCCCGCTCTCACCACTTCTTTTCAACATTGTACTGGAGCTTCAGCCAGGGCAATTACACACACACAAAAAAGTAAAGGCGTCCAGATTGGGAAGGAAGAAGCAAACCTGTCTCTATTTGCAGGTTATATGATCTTGTACATAGAAAACCCTCAGAAATCCACTAAAAAACTATCAAAAATAATAAACGAATTCAGCAAGGTTTAAAGATACAAGATCAACATACAAAAATTGGTTGCATTCCTGTACACTAGCAATGAAAAATCTGAAAACAAAATTAAGCAAACAATTCCATTCCTAATGGTTATCTCATCTTCACGCATCAGCAGATATACTCCCAAAATTCATCTACAGATTCAATGCAATCCCTATCAAAATTCCAAATAGATTTTTTGTAAAAATTGATAATTAATCCTTGTGGAAATGCAAGGGACTCAAAGACCCAAATAAACTTGAAAAAAAAGAACAAAGTCGGAGGACTTACATTTCCCAATTTCTAAACTTGCTATAAAGCTACAATAATCAAGTCAGAGTGGTACTAGCATAAAAATAGACAGACAAATGGAATAGAACTGAAATCCCAGAAATAAGCCCTTACGTTTATGACTAGTTGACTTTTGACAAAGGCTTCCAGAAAGTTCAAGGGAAGGAAATAGTCTTTTCAACATATGCTGCTGAGATAATTCAATATTCTTATGCAAAAAAAAAAATGTATTTGGACCCCTACCTTGTACCATAAATAAAAATTAACTCAAAACGGACCACAGACCTAAATATAAGAACTAAAACTACTTAGAGGAAAACTGAGGAGTATATCTTCACGATCTTGGGTAGGTAGTGATTTCTTAGATATAACACCAAAGCTCAAGCAATAAAAAAAACTGAGGGGCTGGCCCAGTGGTGTAGTGGTTAAGTTCGAAAGTTCCCCTTTGGCAGCCCAGAGTTCACTATTTCGGATCCCGGGTGTGGAACTACACATCACTTATCAAGCCATGCTGTGGCAGGCATCCCACATATAAAGTAGAGGGAGTTGAGAATGGATGTCAGCTCAGGATCAATCTTTCTCAGCAAAAAGAAGGAGGATCAATGGCAGATGTTAGCTCAGGGCTAATAACCAGCCCCCCCCCCCAAAAAAAACTGATAAATAGAACTTAAAATTTTAAACTTTTGCTCTTCAAAAAAAAAACCATAAAGAAAATCAAAATGCAACCCACAGAATCGGAGAAAATTTTTCAAATCACGTAACAATAAAGGACTTGTATCCAAAATATACAAAAATATGTGAAGAACTCTTACAACTCAATAATAATTAAAAAAACACAAAAAGTGGGCAAAAGATTGGGATAGACATTATCCAAAGAAGATATACAAATAGCCAATAAGCAGATGAAAAGATGCCCAACGTCATTAGGCATTAGGGAAATGCAAACATAAACCAGAATGAGATATCCACTAGGATGGTTAAAATAAACAAGACAGAAAATAATAAGTGTTGATAAGGATGTGCAAAAACTGGAACCCTTATGCGTTGCTGATAGAAATAGAAAATGGCACAGCCACTTTGGAACGCAGTTTGGCAGTTTCTTAAAAAGTTAAGCATAAACTTAACACATGATCCAGCAATTCCACTCCTACCCAAAAGAAATGAAAGCCTACGGCAATGCAAAAACTTGTACACGAATATTCACAGCAGCATTATTCACAACAATCAAAAAGTGGAAACAACCCACCTGTCCATCAACTGATGAATGGATCAACAAAAACGTGATAGATTCATAAAATGGGGTATTATTCAGTTGTAAAAAGAAACAAGGTACTGATACATGCTACAACATGGATAAACCTAAAAATCATTATGCTTAGTGAAAGAAACTAGACACGAAGAGTAGATATTAGGTGCCAGTCCCGTGGCAAAGTGGTTAAGTTCGTGCACTCTGCTTAGGTGGCCCAGATTTTGCAGGTTCGGATCCCAGGGGGGCACCTATACGCCACTCATCAAACCACTCTGTGGCTGCGTCCCACATACAAAATAGAGGAAGACTGGCACAGATGTTAGCTCAGGGCCACACTTCCTCAAGCAAAAAGAGGAAGATTGGCTACAGATGTTAGCTCAGGGTCAGTCTTCCTCACCAAAAAAAAAAGAGTACATATTGTATGATTTCTTTTATGAGAAATGTCCAGAGGCCGCCCCATGGCCAAGTGGCTAAGTTCACGCGCTCCGCTTTGGGCGCTCCGCTTTGGCAGCCCAGGGTTTTGCCAGTTCAGATCCTGGGTGCAGACCTGGCACTGCTCATCAAGCCATGCTAAGGTGCCGTGCCACATAGCAGAGCCAGAAGGACTTAACAACTGGAATATACAACTATGTACTGCGTGGCTTTGGGGAGAAGAAAAAAGGGAAAAAAAAAAGATTGGCAACAGATGTTAGCTCAGGTGCCAATCTTTAAAAAAAAGAAATGTCCAAAAAAGGGCAAATATATAGAGACAGAGAAGCTTAGCTGCCTAGGGCTGGGGACAGAAATAGGAAGTGGTTGTAAATGGGCATGAAGTTTCTTTTTAGGGTGATGGTAATGTTTTAAAATTAGATTGTGGTGATTGTTGTACATTCTGTAAATTTGCTAAAATTCACCGCACTGTATACTTAACATGGGTGACTTTCATGGAATGTAAGTTATATTTCCATAAAGCTGTTTAAACAAAAAAGTATGCACTTTCATTGATATAAAAAATGATTCTTTCCACACTCACCTCTACAAAGTGGCAGTGAGAGGGTCTTTCAAATTTACAAATTCACATAAGTAATTTCAGCAAAATAAAACCCAATCATAACCACAAAGAAGTATTCATTTCTGATATAATCAAATATAAAAGAGATTTCTATATAAAAGTAAAAGATTTTAAGTCATGGTAACCTAACTGTAAATATAATATATATACACACACACAAACATAATCAATATTCTTATATTAATATGTGCTCTAAATGTTACTGCTCTTCTCTAAAATCTACCCTACTCTGGCTTGAATTAGGGTAAAAGAAAACAACTACAAATATGGACAAACAAGGTCGATGTTTAATAGTGTTGTTTAATTTAAACATAATAAGCCAAAAAGGCATTTTCAGAAAGTCATAATCAGATTGCTAATTGTGATAAGGAAGTAATAAGTTGTTTGCCCTTAAAAAAAATTCAACCATATTATGTATGCTCAGTTGAATATTGTCCTTAAGAATATAATTGTTGGGGCTGGCCCGGTGGCACAGCGGTTAAGTGCACACGTTCTGATTCTTGGCGGCCTGGGGTTCGCCGGTTCAGATCCCAGGTGCAGACAAGGCACCCGTTGGCAAAAGCCATGCTGTGGTAGGCATCCCACATATAAAGTAGAGGAAGATGGGCATGGATGTTAGCTCAGGGTCAGTCTTCCTCAGCAGAAAGAGGAGGATTAGCAGTAGTTAGCTCAGGGCTAATCTTCCTCAAAAAAAAAAAAAGAAGAAAAATATAATTGTTACCTTGGGGTGGAAAATGGTTTTCTTCAATAATGCACCGATTGGTCCAAATATATTTCAACTCTTTAGCTGGTATTTTTGAATACCAAAAGAAAGCTATGTTCAATATATTTTAATCACAACTTTAAAAAAAATATTTTAACTATGAAATATTTATTTATTTATTTATTTATTTATTTATTTATTTATTTATTGAGGATGATTAGCCCTGAGCGAACTGCTGCCAATCCTCCTCTTTTTGCTGAGGAAGGCTGGGCCTGAGCTAACATCCGTGCCCATCTTCCTCTACTTTAAATGTGGGACACCTACCACAGCATGCTTTGCCAAACGGTGCCACGTCCGCACCCAGGATCCAAACTGGTGAAGCCCAGGCCGCTGAGAAGCGGAACATGTGAACTTAACCGCTGCACCACCAGGCCGGCCCTAACTATGAAATATTTAAATCAAATGGACCATAATATAATAAATGCTCATGTACCCATTCAGATTTTTAAAAAATTAACATTTTGTAATTTTTGCTTCATTTTTAATTAAATTCACAGATATGGCTAGGGTCCTATGCTCTATCGCATTTCCATTTTTCTTCTCTAGGGAAGAGTTTCTTCTAAGTTGATTTCTGTACTTCCTCTGTAGGTTTTATACTTTTATTATATCCGCACGTGCCCATAAAACATAAGCTGATTTTGTGCGTAGTATGTGTCTACGAGCACTGTTTTACAACTTGCTTTTTTCACTCAACAATACGTTTAAGATTTTCCCATGAATATACCACAGTTTATTTTGCTCATCCCCCTATGATGGTCATTTAAATTATTTCCGTTTTCTATTTTCTCTATTACAAATGATACTGCAACAAACAGCCTTGCAGGTTTACAAACCTGCAATAGAAACAGATGCATCTCCAATTCCATTAACTATTGCCAAG